GATTTTTGATGTCATCAAACACACTGCACAACATGGCTGGATCTTTCTCTTCAACAGGATAGACATTTTCAAAATTCACAGGTTGTGCCAAAGCAACTGGCAGATTAGCCCTTAGATAAATTGGAAGGCTTGTAGGATTTAAGAGTCTGAAAATGCCAATGTTGTTTTCGTCAATGTAAGAGATGGCTTTTCCTCCAGCTATAGGAAACTTGGATTGAAGTTTGTGGCAGGGCTCTAGAATCACTGTTGTGCATGGTGGAAATTTTGGAATTTCAACTGGCAAAATGGTTTCTGAATGGGGTTGAAGAATTACGGAGTTGATCGTCTTTGCCATTGCTGTAAATATACCATTGTCTCGAATTGTTGCTATGGTAACATGAGGGGTACTTCCGCTCTTGTTGTTTCCTGATGATTTCCTCTGAATTGGAATAGTCAGTGTCATATTTTCAAAATCTGTTTGTACTTTGTTCTCACATAGAAAGTCCAGTCCTAAAATGGCTCTTGCATGAAGTGTTTCAAAAACTCGGAATTTCTGTTTCACTGTGTGGTGTCCAAGAGTGACTTCTAGCACCGTTTCTCCTAGAATGGGATGTACTTCTCCACAAACACCGACTGCACTCGTTATTGTGGATCGGTCTATTGCTGTAGTTGGTTTAAGTCGCTGTAGTTGATGCTGACTTATACAGCTAATAGAGGCTCCACTGTCAATTAAACATTTGACAGGAAGATTCTGCAGCTTAACTTCTACAAAGTTCCTCTCCATTGAGGCAGTGAATTGGCATTCTGGGGTCCCATGGGTCACACTGGAAATCCTTGAACACCTCTTCTTTCCACAGCACCATCCTTTTGACGCTCTTCTTTTGCCCATGACTTATGTTTATATCAGGACTGTCAGTCTGAAACTATGAAATCTTAGTCAGAATTTTGGAAATGTATTATCCTTCTATATGAACTAAAGCATTTGCAGAAGGTCAGCATACTTCAAAATTGAATAAGATTTACTGACATTCAACTGACTAAAAGTACTAGAGATGAAATGAAGAAATTAAACATTACCAATTCCACACAAAGAATTTCTGTACCTTTATTTCTCACTTATCTAAGAGTGAAAGAACATGAATAAAGTTGTACTTATCTTTGTTTATGTGTGGATTTACCAGTATCTTCATCTTGGAGGTACATCTCTGTAAACTTAATTTTCAGCGCCTCAAAAATATTCCTACTTTTGCCTTCTAATTATAGCATCAATTCACAATGCATACCCGGATTCTCCACCACATCTGTCACCGAGGTACAGGGCACCAGTAGATAAGGGGAACTAACTCTGACATTGCCCTAACCAAGAGACAGGGGGTCAGCCTATGTTTAGGCTTAACAACACCAAGATCGAATATGCATAGAGCTATAACTCGAAGGCAGCTAGACAGTTTTTACAATTTATTAGGTTACAATTTAGTTCAATTACTGTATAAACAATGATCAAATAAAATAAAGCCAAAACAAATAAATTGAAGTATGAATTAGGAGGTTTTAGTTGATAGATAAAATAAAAAGTGAAATAAACTTTTAAAATAATAAAATAAATTTAGCCGCCACACTACTTAGTCTACTGGCAGACTGGTGGACAGTCTCTTATTTAGCCAGTGTATAGACATAAGCAGTGTGTCGTAGAATGTTCCAAAATATTCTGACTGTGGAATAAATTCCTAACAGTATATTTATAATGAAGAGGTTAATTAAGTATAATTATAAATAAGACATATAGAGTCACTGATGATGACCACTCAGATAATTATTTAAGCTGAAACCGAGTGACCATATGCCATTAATTACAGATAACTATCTTAACAGATTGAGTCTTGTCAAATGTTTGTCATAACACATATGAGTATAATTAATTAATTTTCAAAGTCAAATCCTAAATGTCAATTAAACTTTAAAGTCAAATCCTAAATAGTTACAAAAAATATCTTTACACAAAATAGCACACTATGACAAGACTATAAAATATTTTTTCCTACATCCTTATTTAACATGTGACCAAGGTCGAAGGATGCTGTTAACCTTTCAGCTCAGGTGATTCAAGAAATGGATGGGACTTCAAAATCACTTTGATGTACATATGCGTGCTAATGAAATCTTTGCGACCTTTTTGCCTCAATTTATTATGCCAAATTAAAGTTCTTTCAAATAAATGTATTTTATAAATAACAGTATTCATAGTATTCTAAGATTTTGATGTCTGAGATATTGAAGTTCAACATGTACAAGAGTGATTATAATGCACTTTGTACTAAATTTTAGTTTCTATTTCATATAATTTTTTTGAAAATTGCAAAGAAGATTAAAGATGAAGACATACGCAAGTGGGTTAAGGCTAGGGATAGGCAATTCTATGCAAATTAACAAATTAAAATGCCTAAGGACTATAATTATCTATTATACAGATAAAGTTATGTCTAATACTTACTTGGTACCCACGACGTGAGATAGCCAGTACAAATTATGTCGTCATATTATGATGTCAATGTTCTTTACTACACAAGATTATAAAGGGCATCAACAAAAATGCCTCGGCGCAAGGGCATGCTCTATTTTATTTAAGTTAATTTAACTGAAACAAGGTGTATTTAGAGGCAAAATATTCCAAGGATTGCTGGTATTGCTGCACAAATATCAACAGCTCTGTCGTTTAATTACTATTTGTAAAGTTATGAGTTGAACATGTTGAATCTGGGTAAAAATGTACAGTCGGGTATAAGTTTCCTCAAATTCTGAGAAAATGCTTAGGATTTGTGCAGCGGTTTTATTAATCTAAAGAATATTCTTCTTGGCATAATATGCATTTTGTGTGAAATTAAATAGGGTAATCCCTTGTGCTGAAGCTGTTTCATTGATGTGTTTTATTACCTCCAGTAGGTAAGAACAATGACGTCATAATATCACGTCATAATGTGTACTGGCTATAACATATCGTGGATATAAGTATGTATAAGAAAATAAATCAAAACGTTCTTTGAATAATAAATATATACCTCTAATGCCTTTTTATTGGCTCCTTTGCATAGAAACGCCCATACTTAGCCTGAACTCACATGTGCACAGACAAACACACAAGAAGACACATGTGAAACTGGTTTAAGGGTTGATGTGTAAACATTTTACATTGTCAGCAAAAACTAGAATTTATTAGATCGAATTACAGATTTTAGTCACACCCCTGCTGAAATAGTGTTAATTTAAGTCCCTCAATCAGTGATGATTCTGTGAATTGGCCAAAATATCTGAAATAGTTTGGGTGTTGAGGGGCTGATAAAATATGGGTTTTAGCAAGCCCAAAATAGGTTTAAATGAGTGACAAAAAGAACTACATGTATATGCGGTATATGCATATTTTTGCCCCAACAAGTCATATTTTGAAATGTTTTTTTGAAATGTGCTGAATTATATATTGTATGAGAAATCTAAATTTACAAAAAATATTATAGTTTCAAAGTAAGTTAATTTCAATTTTTGTTTCTATGATGTCACAAACTATTCGGATTTTATCTTATTTTTCAGAAAGAGGAAAAAATGGGCAAAATTTGTTCAATTTTTACTATGAAATTTATAGAGCACAGGTCTGCTCCAAAACAATATTAACATATTTCATTGATATTATCATTCTACACATTACAATATCAAAATATTGAGTTGGAGCAGACCTGCACTCGGTGACTTTTACTCAAAATATTGACGTTATATACATCTTTTCCCGTATAAATCATGGAAATTTTGAATTTACATCATTTTCCTGACGTCATATTTAACGTATGACATCATGGCTTATGAAAATATTCAGTGCTTTGAAGTCAGCAGATATCCCCCTATTTTAGAACATAATAAATTAAAGATTTCTCCATCAAAGTTTGATTTGGGGGGAAATATTGGTCATTACCGAATATAATCCTTTAAGTGTGACAGTTTGTTCAACAACTTTTACATCCTGACCTAACTGAATGGCAAAAGCTATTGTAAGGAAGTCTGAATCATCCTTGTGTACTTGGAGATAAAAGCAAACATCTGAATGATACAGACAAGATCAAAACACGGACTAAACAATGTAAATTTTTTACCCGGACAAATATGGGAACGGATCGCTGCAAAAATAGAAAATTTCGAAATACACTCATAAATATCGGATTCTTGGATTCAAATTATCAGAATTCCACTAAATATCAGAACAGAATCATCAGTGTTCAATATACGCCTAGTAAGAATCTACTACAAAAATTACAATTTAACAGGTATGACACCCTAAACAATGTACAGCTGAAGGCCCTTTCTCAGTTTTCAAACAAAGATGCCTTGGGTACCATATGCATGGAAGTCCGAACTACACATGTACTTCAACCTCAGTATCTTGAATTATTGGGATTCTTGAACATATTTTTTCCCTTTTGGCCTCAAAATAACACGACTATATTAAATCATTTAAATGTATATCATGTACACTACACAGTGAAATAGGGCTGTGCAGTGAACCAAAAACTTCAGTGCATTGCGGTTCATACTGTTTGATTCGGTGCACCGATCAGGAAATTCAGAATTCCGTTCAGTTTGGTTCAAAATTTACATAACACAAATAAACAGAAATGGCCGCCAATAGGAAATCGGAAAAGTTTATTTTCATGATTTTAATACTTTTTGTACTGATCATGCTGATTGAGTGATTGTGCCAATTTTAAGTCAGTGATTTACCGATAATATTTTTATTTCAAAACACCTTTTCCTTTTGCAATATTTTTTTAAAAAGAATTTTATGCTTGTTATCCTTAAGGAAAGAAATTTATAAAGCCATGAGATTATTATTTTTCATTTATGATGAGAAATATTTAGACTGTTTTAGGCTAAAATCAAACCAAATCGAAAAATACTGAACCATATCATTCTGAATGGAAACCAAACCAAATTGATTGAACCCAAAATCATCCCAGCCCTACAGAGGAATTCATACTTACCTTGCTTACTGTGCTAACACTCTCCACCACAAGACTTTTTTTAACCATTTGTTTCTCTCTTATGCGGGATGAAGACCGAAGTCCGTTGATAACCACTGGGTCAGGGCTTTCTTCCATCTTCACCTGAACATTTTCAAATTCTGGTGGTAGATCAATATTCTGGTCTGGTTGTAGATCCAGATTGAGAACCGCACCAGGGCTTTCTTCCATCTTCACCTGAACATTTTCCAATTCCGGTGGTGGATCAAAATTTTGGTCTGGCTGTAGATCCAGGTTGAGAACTGCACCAGGGCTTTCTTCCATCTTAAGCTGCACATTTTCCAATTCCGGTGCTGGATCAAAATTCTGGTCTGGTTGTTGTAAATCCAGGTTGAGAACCGCACCAGGGCTTTCTTCCATCTTCACCTGAACATTTTCCAATTCTGGTGGTGAATCAAACTTCTGGTCTGTTTGTAGTTCCAGGTTATGAACCGGATGAAATCTGACAGAAAATTTGTGCTCCGTAACCTCTGCTGGTACCACTGTTTTTGAAGTGTTCACAGACGATGTTTTGTTATTTACAAGCTGATTGTTCAGAATGCTGGAATTGTTGATGGTTGTTTTGTTTATGTTGTTCGTAACATTTGGTTTGGAGACAGTAACGGCAGTATTTGGGTAAAAAGACATGGTACTTGGTACAATATCAGCATTGTGGTTGAGATTTGGATTCGACGAGATAGTAGTTTTGGTTCCAGTTTCTATCCTGGAATTTTCAACATTTTTTTCATTGTTTGCTGATGAAAGCACTACATTCTTTGGAACCTTAACCACAGGTAATTTATTAACAGAAGAAAATTTAAGCTGTTCAAGGTTGTTGTTGGTCACAGACACAGTAGACTGACTGGACTGGTGGTTATTCATTTTCATACTGGGCTCACAAGACTGGTGCACTTCAAGGCTGTTGGTGTTCAAAGCAGGCAGAGAGGATACTTGCTGTGTCCTATGGCTGTCCATGTTCATAAACGGCTGAAAGGACTGATGCATTCTAAGTCTTTTAATGTTCAAACTAGAATGAGGCAACACGTACATCCCAATTTTGTTTAATTTGAAAGTAGGCTGAGAGGCCTGCTGGGTCCTGAGGCTGTTCATGTTCACACAAGCCTGAGTGTTCTGCTTGGTCAGAAGGCTATCCTTGTTCCCACTAGCTGTAGACATGGGAGATGGAATCCTAAGGTTTTTTGTGGTCTCTAGAGAATCAGTTAGTTTAATCACAGGTATTCCTGGAATCCTAAGTTGGCCATCATTCAATGTACAAATAATAGCCTCCGAATTATTAAGCAACACACAGTGTCCACTTGCTTGCAACAGACTTTGATTTGAGGGTGAAATCTGGTTTTCAGAAGTAGTAGTTGTAGTTCTAACAGAACTGGAGGTTTTGCATGTAGCAAAAGTTGAGTTTTGTTGGATAATTGGAGTATGTTTTAGGTGGACATCATTCAATGGTGTAAGATTTTTCATTCTGCTGACAATTACTTCATGCAACTTGTTCTTAATGGTGAGTGACAAATTAGTAGAAGAAGGGGCTGACTCAACTGCTGTGTCCTTGTCTATTTCATCACTGGACCTAGTGGCCATTTTTTAGTTGATTAGTTTGACAAAATAAGAAAATTGCCTTAAAGCATATGGTATAAATATTGAGCACTGTTGGACAGATGTAAAGTTGTAATCCAACCATTCTTCATGTTTGAAATTGTGTATCGCTGTCAAAAATTCCTTATGGTAACCATGCAAACGGTCTCATGTATTGGACAAAGTAAGATTAGTGCAGAATTACTCTCTATGCCACATCAGGATCAGCTCCAAATCTAGGAATAGAAAGAATGAGTGCACTTTAGAGTGTCATTTGGAGCCTTTTCAGCCACCCATTTTAAGCCTTAAATCGGACTATATTGCTAAATTAATCTATGATTATTGTGCATACATATGCTTTTGATATTTATACTTCGAATTTTTTTTTTAAACATATTGCTATAATTCCACACAACGTCATTGAAAAGAACATGTATAAGCCTTAAATTCTGGAAATTTGAACTGGACCACTTTCGAATTTAAGGTACCCGCAAATGGGCGGAGATATTTAAATCGCATGGAAGTGGAATGTAAACATTTGCACATTATTTCCAGATTGATTCTACAGTATGAATTTAAATGGGGGAGAGAAAGATTGTGTAGTTTCATGATTCACACAAATAATAAATGATTCATGGCCATACATATTGATCATTTTCATGATTCGTAACCATATGTTTGATGCCTAGCACCGAATTAGATCAATCTTAAGTTTTCGTATATGATAAAAATGCCCCCTCTTTTTTCTTTAGCTTTATCATTTTTCGTTTTATATGCTGAATGCTTTTCAATTCAAAGAATGAATGTATGTTTTAAGAAAGATTCACATGTACATGACTTCGATGTCACACTACATTCAAATGTAATTCACTGTACATGTAGTACGTAGAGTAATACAAACGTGTAGTGAAACAAATTATACATGTATGTAGTACTCATGGTGATACATATTTTATTATATGCTTGTATAGATAAATAACATTCGGAAATGAAATATAAAATTTTAACTTAAAATTTGAGTCGCTAGGTTAACATGAAAACTCCAAGAAATACAAACTATCTGTACATAATTTAAATTAACATTTTATTGATGTAACAAGTACATTTCAGATTGAAAAACATGGTCAACGAAAATTCTACAACGTTACTATATTGATAATCACTCGCTTATGTCTTCAATATCTATTTCTTTTCGGCAATCCAAATATTGTCAGGTATGATACTAGTGTTTAGGGATGCGTCTGTAGATGCCTGCAGATCATAATACAGAGGCGACACGAGTTAACACAGCTACATACTAATCGTGCACTTGATTTGCACTGGCAGTACCAGAATTTCCTTCAAAATACCAAACGAAAAACACAATTTAGTGAAAGAAGACAAGGTAAACTTTAAGACCCTAATAAAATTTTCGCAAAATTCTTCATTATTTTGAAGTTGTTCAGGCTGGTACAAATGGTGAGATTTGTAGTTACTGTATAATACAAGTATTATATTTGTATTATAATACTTTCCTGTACACACGTTTATACATTTTATTAGATTGTTAATAGACTTAGGGATTTCTACGTGTTTCCCTCGCAATATTTCTCTCCCTCTCTCTCTCAATAATGGAAAACGACGTTCTGTTAGCAGTATATGTTATCGTATTAAGCATTACAATAAAACTGAAAAAAAAACATCGTAATGGAAACAGCGGCGGAACACTCGTATATGTACTTGGTGCACACAATGCATCGCTAGATGAGGTGCAAAGAGAAGACCCCAGTAGTTTAAAAACTTCTTTAGAATAGATAACGCTGCATTTGAGCAACTTTTACAATTACATGTAGTTACTCCTTTTGATCTTCTTCCCATAAAACGACGAGTTTTTCGATATTTTTACTGCTAAAGTCGACCATTATTTACCACATGCTTTTTTTTTGTTATGATAAAAATAGGATGACCACAATGTGAGTACTTTTGATTGGTTTAAAAACGAAAGGTAAGTTAAGACTTGTATTAAGAAATAGAGCATTGCCCTATTCTTAATACAGTTTTATAAGATTCGAAAAATCTTAGGATTCACCGTGTTAAAAGTCTGACTATACATAGTCAGATTTTGTACTTAAATACACATCCATGTGTACAGCCCTGAAGTCTATTGATAGATACAATGAAAGCAAATCGAATAGTGGAATGTCACGTGAGTAAAGTGATTATAATATCAAACAGGTCAAAATAGGTTGACACTCGGTGACCTGTTAATTTAGTAGCTAAACCGAGCGTAGTTTGGAGAATTTTTTTGAAAATTACATATGAGCCACAAATTGTCCAACAATGCCCTTTGGATATGTATAAGTTTAAATCAAAATACACATTCTGTGCAAATGAGAAGAATGGACAAGTTGCGGCTCGATGTAAACAATGTCGTTGAAAACTGGTATGCATATGAATAACATTAGAAATGTGACAAAACTGCTAGACCCCTGTTGCAAAAACCACTGTCGCTCGGCATTATTTAATATTTTTATGTGATATAATATATCAAACCCTGCTCTTAAGATATTGTTTAATAATTCTGATTCAAAAAAATTATAAATTTTGGAAATTTATTATTGGCAAAGAACCGGGATCCAACTCTCATAGCTTAAGTGCAGTGATCCTTTTTTCGTAAATTCCTAAATACACATGAGTAATCAGAGAGATTGAGATTTCATATGTGTACATCTAGTGGGAGAATTTAGTAAATTCCTTGCATATTGCATCATCAATTTTAGTGATGAAAAGATTTCTACATGTTCCTAGAACTTTTAAAATGGCATCTACAAGTGAAAATTTGTAGCATTTATTTTTATTTTGGGATAAAAGCTGTTTACATTGGATATAAGCAGTGATTCATTTTGGAAAGGTTATCATGTGTCCAACGGACCCCTTTTAATGATGATAATGAGTCCCATGCCAAAACAGTGCATCCTGATCTAACATATATATATATATATATATATATATATATATATATATATATATATATATATATATATATATATAAATTACATACATGCATTTGATAAAGGAAATTCAGATGAACTTTAATAAAGTGCTGTTTTGTTGTATATTATATAAAAAATACATGTATTATATTGTCAATTATGTACTCTCACTGGTTCTAGTTTTAGATCGTATCTATCTCACACGTTCCGTTGCATGCCAGCTGTTCCAAACTAAACCAAACATTAAAAGAAATAAAGACTTAGTTATTTAACTAAAAAAAAAAAAAAAGTTAAAAAGAACAATGGGTCAATATTATAGGAAAATAATTAAAATGATGACACTTTAATCATTTTTTAATTATGTACTATGCTCCAGATACTTGATATAATCATGTCATTGATAATATATCCATGATATCAGCAGTAGACATTCTTAAACTATGCTGACTAGCGTTTGCAGATATTCCCTAATAATTGCTTATTCACTGAAAAAAAAAAAAAAAGGGGGAGGTGTAAAATCTGACCTAATGTTGGCCAGGTAGCCTAACATATTTGTCACAAAATCGCTTGTGCATACCGCTTAGCACATGGATATGATGCAATCAACCGATCTGAAAAGAAACTCATACATCAATAGTACACCTATCTAATTTTGCTGCATCCATTGGGATGCACATTGATTGAAATTGTGCAAAAATTATATCCTGAGCAAAATTAGTGCTTAATTTAAGCAGGACACAGGGGCAAAATGAATCACTGTTATAAGTGGAATCTTTCAGCTTGCATGGGTAAATTGAAATACTATATGTGTAACTAGGACATCATTTGCACTAGCTCATCTGAGCATTTGTGTTAATTTTATCCTCAAGTAAGTTATTTTTCGACTTCTTGTTTACATTAGATTCTTCCCCTGTATATTTATTATATTTGTGTAAACATGGTATGGTATAATAGGGAACAGAGCATATAAGAGCCCGTTCAAACAAAGGCCTCTGAATTTCTATCAATAAGCCATTATATGATTGATCAGAATGATATATATACCCCCTCTATATATAAATACACGTGTATTTATATACAGAGGGGGTATATATATCATTCTGATCCAACATATAACGGCTTATTGATAGAAATTCAGAGGCCTGTGGTTCTAATAGCCGAGTGGTCACAGTGGTCTGCTCCTGGCATTTAATAATTATTTATTAAAAAATTATACACGCAATACTAAAACAACACAGTATTACGTATATATAATTGTTTAATAAATAATTATTACACGCCAGGAGCAGGCTCAGGCCCCTGCGGTCTGAGTGATGTAACAATATAAACACATGATAAACATGTTAAATATTGAAGGATGGAAAACCAAATATTGAGATTATCTAAAAAGTTTACCCTCTGTTTCTACATACCGAATTATAAATAACCAAGGAAAGTGGCAATGTAGACTGACCAAGCCAAAGTCTGCGAACCGATTACCGTCCATTCGTTCATGTCTCTGATTCGTCTCATATTACATTACATATATAGTATCTCGAACCCGATGATAAAAGTTAAACTGATCGACCCAGAAGAGTTGGAAAAACTTTTAATTTTTTAAAAATATATTCATTAAAATAAAGAAAAACATTATTTGTGAATATTTTTTGAATATATACTGAAACAGTGTCTTCACATTTTGGAATCAGTCGTCTATACAGCTAGATACATGTGCTTTAAAGGTGCTTAGACACAGATTTGAACTTAATAGGCCTATTTTCTCAAATTTTCTGTATAATATCACGACTTATACATTGCAATAGCATTTCACACGAAAATATAATTTAAAACTTATTTTATCTGGAAATTATTGGAACTATGAATTCCGGGACCCGTTTGATTAACACATCTTTGCACTTACACAAATTTTAACTTTATATCATTAATATTTAAGAAAAGAAGCAATTTTGTTATGTATTAATATATAAATAGTGGACGTTTTTGAGGGTAACAGTTGAAATTGACACCCCAAGGAAAACCATTGTCAACCGACGCGTCAGCGGAGGTTGACAATGGTTTTCCGAGGGGTGTCAATTTCAACTGTTACCCTCAAAAACGTCCACTATTTATTTTATTATACTGAATGTCTTATTGATTTCGGGTGTCATAAAAAAATTCGGAGATCGTCGTTAAGTTCACGCTTAGAAAGCTTTCAAACTCCCTGCTTCTATTTTTCTCAATAAGAAAGCTTCGGAAAAGATTTACCAACCTCTTTATTGTTTGTTTGCTACTCAAAAAGTCCTTTATCATCTAAAGTTTGCACTCGCAAAGATGTTTCGTCTGTCGTTTGTTGTTTTCAAGTAAGCTACATCGGACGCAAGCTTTTATTGACGTCGTTTATTCGGCTTCTTTCAAACGCACAACCGACGTTTTAAGAATTCTACAGTGAACCGTATGCGCATGATTTGAACGCATGTGATATTTTCGTAATGTTACCCGTTGTCAAGTGTGTTGCTAACGCTGTGGGTAACATTACGGATTGTTAAATGCGTCTAAACTAATCAGATTTTAGTATTTAACATGAAAGTATAATAATGAAAAATATTACATCTATAATCCAGAAAATTCAGAGTAGAAATGTTCGAAAGCAAAACCAACTCACCAGTATTGTCAGTCCGTGCTCAGTGGTGTGTGCTGAGTTTAACAAATTAAACACATCTGTGAAACGTAAACTGTTTTTGTTAACAGGGCACGAACTATGTTATTGTTAATGTTTACGATTCACCGGGTGTGTTCAATTGTTAAACTTTGCACACATCACTGAGCACGGACTTACATTTACTTATATTTTGGTAGGAATTAAATGCTATAGCAACATATAAGTCATGAAATTATACAGAAAATGTGAGAAAATATTAACTTCAAATCTATGTCCAAGCACCTTTGAATGTGTGTATTTGTCATCACACAAATGCAGCTCAAAGCTATTATCCCCGCGAAAAAAGGAGTTGGAGGGGATATAGTAACGAAATCGCGCGCGCGTGTGTGTGTGTTTGTTTGTGGGAGTGTTATGTTCTGTGCGAAACGGAAGTGACGTAATTTGCAAATGCTGATGTCAAATGCTGCTTTGATTTCATTCTGTAAACCTCGAATGATTCCTTTACCTTCATCAGATGATGAGGTACGAATCGACCGAGGTGTGCCGGGTGACCTTGAATTAATTATTGATATGCGTTTTGATGCTATATGCCAAAATTTGTTGAAATTGGTTTAGCGGTTCCAGAGAAGTTGAAAATGTTTAAATTTAACAAACAACGAACGACGCAAGGCGACAGGAAAAAAAAAAAAAAAAAACAAACAGCAATAGGTCACCTGAGTGAGTCAGGTGATGAAAAAAAGTCTACAAAGCTGACATTCGTCCTAGATTAATTATATGTTTCTGGGCAAAACACAGTGCAGTGTCTTTCTAAAATTCCATTTAAGGGGGAATGCTTTAAACTAAGGTTTCATCATTGAAAAAAAAAGCTCTATTACATTGTATATATTTTGTAGGATGTTTTGGCACTTTTTTTTTTACAATGCTGTTTTATTTGCAAATGAGATGCTTCAGAGCTGTTAATAAATGCATCATTAGTAGAATAAGATGAGCATCTTTAATAAAACAAATGTCATTAATCAATTTTAGCTTTTTAAATGAAAAAAATATAAAAACAAAAAAATTAAGGGGAGCATTCCCCAGCAATGGGTGAAGGGGAATAAAAAGTGTGAATTTCATGCTCCCCCCCCCCCCCCGGGACCTGAGGGATGGGGCTAAAACCACCAAAATTAATGCAATGTTTGAAAAAAAAACTCTTCTTTACTTCTGGACACCAAGCAGTCAATGGCCCCAAAGTCAGGGGTTCTGGTGCTAGGGTGGGGTTATATAGATCATATAGTAAAAGTGCATGAATTTATTTCTTTGAAAATCTTCTTTTCCCCTGGGTATTAAACAAACTAACTAAATGCATAGTTATTATGAGCAAGGGTGTTTCTTTCAAAATTGTGAATATCATACCCCTGACTCAGGGGTTCTGGTATTAAGGTGAGGCTCTATTGATCACATGTAAATAGTGAAAATGCATTGATCCTTTGAAAATCCTGGGTATTATCTAAACAAACTAAGTGCACGGTTATGATAAGCAAGGATGCCTTTCCCAAAACTGCCACGGTGAAATTCATGGCCCCAGGGTTGGGGGCTCTACTGATTATATAGTGAAAAAGGATAATTTCTTTTAAAATATTTTCTCCTGCTCCTGGTTATAAAGAAAAGAAACAAAATGTATAATTATGATGAACAAGTGTGCTTCTTCCAGAATTGTGATCCTAGGTCCACAATCCTAGATATAATCCACCATCCTAGGTCCACAATCCTAGGCATCATCCACTATCCTAGGTCCACAATCCTAGGCATCATCCACTATCCTAGGTCCATAATTCTAGGCATCATTCATATCCTAGGTCCATAATTCTAGGCATCATCCACTATCCTAGGTCCACTATCCTAGGCATCATCCACTATCCTAGGTCCATAATTCTAGGTATCATCCACTATCCTAGATATTGTAACATGTATGAATGGGTTCTTACAAGGGATATATACTAGGTTTTCCTCTTACTCTGTCTGAGTTTATAATTGCAATGATTAATAAAACCGCTCTGTCTGAGGGTAAATCACACAGTATTAAATTTTTTTCTCTTATCTAGAGACGGGGACTGGGTATGATTCTTGCACCGTGTTTCTCCTCCTAGGTTCCTACTGATAGGAAAGAACTGGGTGTATCAATCTTCTTCAGATTTACTACACCCAGAACTTAACATCAATTCCCTAGGATTACTTACCACTGGTGCTTCTATTCTATGGCTTCTATTCTTATACCCTTACTACTTCTTTACTTGACTATTCTTTTGCCGGCGTCTGATTCAGCTGTCGGCTTCTTCAGCTAACTTCTGAATGCCCGAATTCACCAACGCTTCGCTTTATATACCCTTGGGCTAGTCTATGCTAAGGGAAGTCAGGTCATTCCATTATTGGAGGTCTTCAGTGCGTTTATATAAATACCCCTTAACCATTACATAATCATCCATTATCCTAGGCATCACCGACTATCAGACACATGCACGGCCGGTTACCTCAACTTGTACAGTCCTGTCTTCGTATTATGTCATGTTCATGAGACATTATGTCGTGTACATGAGATAATACGAGTACGTCATGCTCACAAGATATTTTGTCGCACACGAAATATTTTGTCACAACGACACAACTCAACTCCATTGTATACTTAATTCATACAGGGCTTAAATGTTGGCTATTCCTATGGAATGCATAATATTTTAGTTGCTGAAAGTAAAAATTTCTCGGGCACACGGCATAATATGTCTTGCGCTCGCCATACTTCGTGTGCACGATATAATATGTCGTGTACACGAGATAATATGTCATGCGCACGAGCTACGGAGCTTTTATGTCGTGCGCACTTTGTACGACACTAGCAAGTTTATGCATTTCTTCCTCTTTTTTAACATTTGAATTGAGTACTCATTTGGGAGAAAAGAAGTTTAAATGTAACAAATGCGACTTTGCTTGTACAACGGCATATCAACTAAAAGGCCACAGAAGATCAAAACATAACATTTTTAATTTGCATTGTAATAAATCCAACAAAAAATACTTATTTGAACATAGCTTAAAAGAACACAAACGATGATGCAGTATCAGTGCAGATGGAGAATCCTTTAACCTGTCCAAGTGCGATACTTGTGATGCAACATTTTCAACAAAGAGAGCAATGAAATGTCATAAACAAAGTGCTCACCAAGGCCGCATGTACGTGTGCGAGATGTGTGGAAAAAGTTACAAATATCCAGCTGCACTCAGTCACCACTCAAAGGCTCATCACGTTTAAAATGATTACCCTGTGATATTGGTGTTTTTGGGGTTTTTTTAATTTTATGTATGTATGTTGAAAAGACTTTCATTTATGTTTGATTTATCTTTCATTTATCGATCAATCGATCGACCGACAGAGAGTTTATTAGTGATTGTTTCTAAAAAATTCTGTTTTGACTTTCCAGATTTTTTTTTTCAAGTTTATTTTTTTGTACATCAAATATCTCAGGGAGAGAAAATATTTGAATAAATACATAAACAATGTGTTTATTATAGTTTTTGCAATACAACACAAAACGTGTATATTACTCAAATTATGGAATCATAGTGTACTGGTAACAATAACAATCAAAATATGTCCAATTTAATGCCAAGTCTTTTGGAAGGGATTATCTTTGCTTCATTTATTTTATATCCATATCGGCTTCGTATCGGTATGTCTCCTCTTATAGGTTCATTCAATGAGGACAACTTGCGTGTATGGCTTTTCTAGGCGCCGCATTTTTCTAGCTCTTCCTCTGCTGTCAAAGAAGTGGTCTCTGAAAAAAAAATTAATGCCTTCGAATCACATCTTC